ATAGATAGATAGATAGATAGATAGATAGATAGATAGATAGATAGATAGATAGATAGATAAAGTCACTCAAGGACTCCTCATCAGGGTCTCTCAATAGCAACTAATTGTGCCATAAGGAAACTCCATTCTTGCCGATTCGTATTCAGGTTTGTGGTCCCTTCTTGTTTTCTCCAAAGCCAATGGGGATGAGGGAGGCGATGGGAAGACGTCTTTACCTGGGAATTGTCAGAGGTGGAATTTGCATTTCGATCTGTGGCCATTGTATTTCAAGGCTCTCCCTCTGAACTCCCTTCCCTCACTGCTATTTCAGGCTTTGCATTGATTTCCTCTCTCCATCTATCCAGGTGCTGTTTAACATCTCTGACCCTGCTGCCTAAGCCCTTCAGAAAAATAAGGAGTCACAAAGGCCTTGGAACAAATGGATGCTTCCTCTCTCCAGAGAAGAACTTTGTGAGGGCAGGATTTCGTTTTGTTAGCACACTGGTCCCTCAGGGCAGCTCCATTGGCCACATTTGCCCCACACCTCAACAGGAAACCCCTCAGTCGTTTGTTATTATTTTTTTATTATTTTGACTGGCACCCTCAGTGCCCAGGGTGGAGGGCAGCACATAAGGTGACCACCTGTCCCTTATTTCAAGGGACAGTTCCTTATTTCATTCATTTGTTCCTTAGGTTGACTCCCCATCCCTTATTTTAAAGGGTGTCCCTTGACTCCTTTATTTCATTGATTTGTCACATGAGTAAGGTAAGGCTAGAACATAAGAAGGCCACACTGAGTCAGATCAATGATCCATCTAGCCCAGTATCCTGTCTTCCAACAGTGGCCAATGCCAGGTGCTTCAGAGGGAATGAACAGAACACGGCAATTATCAAGTGATCCGTCTCCTGTTGTCCAGTCCCAGCATCCAGGGGCTTAGGGACACCCAGAGCATGGGTTTGCATCCTGGACCATCTTGGCTAATCACCACTGATGGACCTGTCCTCAGTGAATCAAACTTTTGCAGAGCAATATAACTGTTGATTAAACTTTGTTTTCAGGGTAGAATTCAGCCTGAAGAAATCTAATCTTGTAACAAAAACTGACTACACAGCTACAAAAAGAGGGAAAAAAAAGGTTCACCTTTTGTGTTGCCCTAAGAGTGCACTGCATTGCACACCTGAGATCAAAATCATAGACGCAACTTCTTGTTTGAGACTTTGCCTGTTAAAACACGAGATGAAATATTCAGGAGTTTCTCCAGCCTCCGCTTTTGCACTTGTAACACCGGAAAGGAAATGCTGCCAAGACTTCTGGAAAGGGAAAGGTTCATTCATCGCTAAGTAAACAGTAACCGCGTGCCACCTAAGGGCAGCACACTGGGGGTGGGCAGGCGCCAGGCACAAGGCCAGCTAGGGTGACCAAGCAGCAAGTGTGAAAAATCGGGATGAGGTAGGGGGTAATAGGTTCCTATATAAGAAAAAGCCCCCAAAACCGGGACTGTCCCTATGAAATCGGGACATCTGGTCACCGTAAGGCCAGCTGTCATACTGGGGATGCTCGTCACAAACAGGGAGAAGGGAGCAGCTAGGCACAAGGCCAGGAGGGTGGGGTAGCAGGCAGTGTTGGGGGAGGGGTTACAGATCCAATAGTGGGGACATCACTGGGGGAGGGGGGCACCAGGGCACGGGGGGACCCCAGGGCACAGTCATGGTGGGGGGGCACCAGAACATGGCACTGGAGGACTTTAAAGCACTGGGGCAGGGAGCACTATGGCCGGGGGCCCGAAAAAACAGGGCCCCCAGGAAGAAGTTGTCCCCTCCATCCGGGTCTTTGTCCACCCGTGAGCCACTCTCATCCGGGTATTTGGGGGACGACGCTAAGGCCAGGCCTGGAGCGTGCGCGCATGCGCATCATCAACCCGCGTTACCCGGCGCAGGCGCTCTGAGGGGGAAACGAGCTTGGCGCGGGAGGCGAGAATGCTACGCAGGCGCCGTGTGTGTGAGCTGTGGTTGAGAAGACCGCACGCGCGCAACGCCAGAGTGCTGCGCAGGCGCACAAAAAGAGGTTATGCCCAGGCGCAGTGCGTGTGTGCGAGCCCGGCGTACGTACTCGTACTCACGCCTGGGGCTGCGCAGGCGCATCCAAAGCAGGCGGGCGGAGGGGCGGTGCGTGCGCAGGCGCAATGCGGCGAGGAGGGCGGGCCCGGCGCGCAGGCGCAGTGCGGCGCTGGGCGCTGGGCTGGGATTTAAAGGGCCAGGAGCGGCCCGGCCTGCGCTGTCCCCGGAGCCTGCGGCCGGCTGCCCCCGCCCGGGAAGATGGTGTGCGGCGGCGGCTTCGCCTGCTCCCGCAACGCGCTCTGCGCCCTCAACGTGGTCTACGTGGTGAGCGCGGCCCCGGGGCTCCGGCGGGGCCTCCCCCAGCTCGGGGGTGGGGCTCGGCCTGGGGGGAGGGGTCCAGCTTCCCGCGCTGGGCCT